TACATTTCACTGTAAACACCCATCTACACCCAACTAGTTTCTTTCCTTTTGGCTGATCGACTAACTCCATGTATTGTTTTTGAGAAGAGCATCCATTTCTACTTTCATGGCATCCTTCCACTCAGGTATTGACAAGGCCTCTTGCATTGTCCTAGGAATGGGAATAGTAGAGATAGATGCCAAAAAGGACTTATAGGATGGAGGCAAACGATCATAAGTTAGAAACTGAGAAATGCAATGTGTTGTAGATGAAGTACAACGACGCTTCCCTTTGTGAATTGCAATTGGAAGATCAAGATCATCTAAGGTAGGAGAAGGCTCAATAATGGGAGGCATCTCATTAGTCTCAGTGATGGGAGGTATCTCATCTGTAGTGGGATTTAAAGGAGTTGTGGTACCTGGATCTGGAGCCGCAGAGGAAATTGGAGTTGGCCTGGACCATTGAGGATCGAAAGCAACCCGTCTCCACCGCTTGTGATACACCCTCAACTCCCTACACTTATGACAACCCTCTTCACTACACTCCCCTTAAGTGATTGGGACAAGTGATGGAATTTCTAGGTAAACCCATCTCACTACTCGCCCCCTGAGAAGAAACTCTATGATAGTAGGGAACATCTTTAAAGAAGGTGGCATCCATAGAAACAAACCGTTTCCTATAAATAGGTTCATAGTTGTAATATCCCTTTTGATTTTGTGCATACCCAAGAAAGATACATTTGGAAGCTTTAGGATCAAACTTGGAACGATCAAGCCCAAGAATTTGAACAAAACAAGTACACCCAAAGGTTTTAAGAGGAATGGTGAAAAAGTCGTTATCAGGATATAAAAGATTGAATGGAATTTTCATATCTAGGACCTGTGAAGGAACCCGATTGATGAGATACACAGCTGTGTGGATAGCATCCCCCCAGAAACATATAGGAACATTGGAGTTTAGCATAATGCTTCTAGCTACCTCCATTATATGCCTATTCTTCCTCTCAACAACTCCATTTTGTTGTGGTGTATGGGGGCAAGTGCTCTGATGAATAACCCCATGGTCAAAACCATCTGATGGAAGTTCCGAGTTAGGGTAGGGACATCATCTCAAGAGTGCATAAGATAAACCCATGAAAAGTGAGTATCATCATCAAAAAACAACATAAAGTATCGGTATCCCCCCATAGTAGTGATGTGATATGGTCCCCAAACATTAGTATGCACAATTTCAAAAAGAATATTACTTTTTTTATTGCTCAAAGAACAAGTTGTTCTACAATGCTGTGCAAGCTCACAACTTTTACATTTTAAATTAGACATCTGGATTGACTCAAACAAACTCCTTAAAGACCTAAAAGGCAGATGACCTAACCAATTATGCCAAAGCATAATTTGACTCAGAGACTAAGAAACAAGAGACCTTCCAACCTCTATATCTTTCCCTTGTAGACTCCCTCCAAGTAGGTAGATTCCATTTGTCTCACGGCCAATCCCAATCACCTTTCTTGTCTCAAGCTCCTGAAAAACACATTGACCAGGGAAAAAGGTCATTGAATAGTTTTGATTTTTAGTGATGCTACTAATTGACAATAGATTAGTACTAAGTTTAGGAACATGCAAAACCGAGGACAAGGAGATGGCATCCGATAGTCTAATGTTTCCCTTCCCAGAGATGGGAACAAGGGATCCATCAACAATGGATACTCTGTCTCTACCAGAGGGTAAGCAAGAAGTAGTAAACAGAGAAGATAAGCCTATCATGTGGTCAAATGCACTTGAATCTATGACCCAACAAGGTCCATTGTTACTTAGGCCTGAAACATGATATGCTGATGCTTGTGTACCTGAATGAGCAAATGTTGAAGTTGGAGTAGCAAACCAATGGCTGAGATGAGGAGGCTAAAGTACCAAATTCACTTTCTAACTCACTCGGAGTAGCTCAGACAACCACATTGGCATTCCCCTTTTTGTTTTTGAGCTTTGCTTTAATTAAATGTAGATATAACTTCCAATAAGTGTCCTTGGTATGCTTTGGCTTCTTATAATGATCACAAACTAACTCCTTATCCTTCTTCTTATGTCCCTTTCCTTGTCACACCCAAATTTTGGTTTAACCACTGTTAGAGTTGATTCCATAGGCTGAAGTTGCAAATATAACCTTTCTCGTACTCTCTTCACTACGCACTAGAGAATAGGCCTAAGATAAGGTCACACTCTCCCTGGTGAGTAGTTGTTGTCTCACAATATCATACTCTGAATTCAGACCAGCTAGGAGTTCAAAAACCCTATTGGTCTCAACTTGTTTCCTATAGGTGTTTGCATCCTTCTGGCTTTCCCACTCACTAGTTTCCAGGTGATCAATTTCATGCCATAAAGATTTCAGGGTGGAGAAATAAACCGAGATTGGCTTCTCCCCTTGCTTGAGATTATTACTTCACATTTCAGCTCATAGGCCCTAGCAACATTGAGTGGCTGAGAGTAGACCTCTTCATGGGTTGGGCCGGGTTCAGTCCAGGCTTTGTATATGTGTCAACAAAATACATTCAGGCTTGAGCCTGAGCCCGACCCTGACTATAAATTTGAAAACAGAATTTTTTTTCTTTTTTTATTTAATAAAAAAGTGTTCTATTTATATTAAAAACCTTCAAAGCTCAAAAATAATAAACATCTCACTATTACTTGGAAAAAAAAGAGAACAAAGAAAAAATATTGTATATATTTTATTAAATAAAATATATTTTTATTATTTAATATATAGTATGAAGTTGGGCTATTTTGAAAAAGCCCGAGATCGTCCCGAAAAAAAGTCGGGCCTGGTGCTTTAGGCTCGAGCCCGAGCCCGAGCCCGCGGGCCTAAAATTATGACCAAGCTCAACTTGTAATGGGCTGGGCAGTGGTAGCCTGCCATGAACAGGTCTAGCTGAGAGTAGGTCTCCTTCATCACTTCACAAATTTCCTTAGTTGTTCTTGCCCACAAGTAATTTTGGCTAATATGAGGCTGCATAAAGTTACACAGCAAAGTCATGACCAAACAGGTCTCCTGAACCCATTTGGCATATGAAAGGTTTTCCTTGGCCGGTTTCTTTACATCCCCATTCACATAACGTAACTTTCCTCTGCCCCCAATTGCCATAATGGCTGACTGAGCCCATTCTAAGTAATTAGAACCATCAAATTTAACAGTAATAATTTGAAAACTGTTCTCTGCCATGTTTCCTGCCCCCAAAACACCTTCCCCTTGAGTCTTAAACTCAGCTCCTGCCATTTCTCTAAGAGGTTTATCAGGAGAAACCAGTTCTCAGCAAGAAAAGACCCCAAAAGAAACCAGTTCTCACCCAGAAAAGGTTTGGAAGCTGAAACCAGCCTAGAAGTCACCCAGAAAAAAACGACTGGAATGCCGAAACTGATTTAGGGTTCACCAAAAAAATGAGATCAGTCAGGTCTGATTGTATGGTTAAGAGAAAACCTTAGAGAAAACTGAGAGAACAGAAAAACTCTTAGCTGCACCTTCTAAATAGGTCACAGTCAGGTCTGATCGTAGGGTTAAGAACAAACCCTAGAGAAAACTCTGAGAAAACAGAGAAAACCTCAGCCACTCCTTCTAGATAGGTCTGATCTATCTATCACTGGTGTCGATCTCAGGAAAAATTAGAAACTTACCCAGAAACACTGATCGCCACTCTGAACCCTAATCTTGATCTTTCTTGTTCTTTTCTGATTCTTCCTGATTACCAGACACTCCAAGCCTTCTACAAACTCTTGGACAACTGCTAAACCCTTCCGGTAACCTCCAAGAATCAGCCGATGGACAGGTCTTGCTAGATTTCCAGCCCTAGGAGGTTCTCATGTAGTCAGCTGGATTAGACACACGAGAAACCCCAGATTGGCTCTAATACCAAGTAGGCAAATCAGGACTGTAATCAGTCTAATTCTTGATGTAAATTCAATGAGACTATTTATATTACCGTTAAAATACCAAGTTGCCGCCCCACTCGACTATTTATATTACCATTAAAATATAAGACTGCAATTACACTAATACCCCCACTGCTTACATGAGCTAATAACTAACAAAACTAACATTGCTAACAACAAACATAAAGCAGGAAATAACTAACAGCAGTAGTGGGGACCACAATAAATAAAATAACTGACAGCAATATAACAGCACTAATTATTGTTCTACATCTGTACATAAAAAACTACTTGTTTCTCTTGATTTATACTGCTACTTTATTTTACTTGCTGAAATCAACAGGTAGTGTCATAAACATGTAATATTTTGGTTGTTTCAACATGTAACTTTGTCAATAGTTTTTGAAAGACTAAAACCAGCCTTGGAGCTAAAACTTTTAGAATGTGATGACTTAGGAATCTGTGAATCAGCCACATTCTTCTTAGGAGAAAAGCTTCTTCCCTTGGAAGTAATCACATGAATTGCATTTAAAAGTAGTCAGTTGAAAATGGCCTGGAAGGCTTTCACATATGTTTGATTCTGACACCATACATCTTTCCAAAAGTGTATTCATGTACCACTGCTAACATCAAAAGGTATATTCTTCTAGAACTCTATTTAATGTACAAGGATGCTATACCCCAGACTCAACTTATAAGGTTCTTGTCTCACTGTGCATAGATATTTGGTTCATTGCCATAACCCCATAACCATCCTTTTTCTCATCGATGTGCTAAATTGAATTTTATGTGTACATTGATGCTAGAAAGTTGCATGGAGGATAGTGACATTGGGAAGGTACTTGTAGGGTTGTATGCGAACTTATTCTTTTGATCTTCTTTACGGTCTGTCATTAAATTCTTTACGGATAGTGACATTGGGAAGGTACTTGTAGGGTTGTATGCGAACTTATTCTTTTGATCTTCTTTACGATCTTCTTTACGGTCTGTCATTAAAATTGTTGGATTGGGCTCTTGTTCAATAGAATCTTTTTACTCAATCATATGTGCATCTATATTTTTGTTTAGTACCTTAAGGTTGATTTGTTTCTCTGTTTTTTCAGATTAGATCATTGGATGCTGTCCATAAGCTCTTTGAGAAATTTCCTGGGGCATTTATGGAGACTCTTCATGTCCCTCTTGAAATAAGGTATTTATTATGATCTTTTATATTTGTTATGCAGATCCATCTTTTTATTTTTCTTTTTTTTATCAATGTAAAGTTTATTGGTTTTAATTTAAGAATCTGAAGGAAATTTTCTTTTGCAGGAGCTCCAACAATACACGTGAAGAGGTAGGTTATTGAATATGTTCTTGAACAATTTAACCAAAGATGTGTCTTATTTGAGAAGCATCAATGTCTTTTTCTCTGTTGAGTGTGTGTTGTGTTATGAAAATAGAGATCCCAAATGAACAAATGGATACCATTTATTCATGCAAGTGATTCTCTAGTGGTAACTGGTAACAAGTTGGCTTAAGGAAATTAAACTAGCGGAGGGGGCCCTGCGTTGCAGGGGCTCACTCATAAACTATCAGGCTCGAGCTCGATTCGAATTAGAGACTTGATTCAAACTTGAGCTAGGCTCGAGTCAAAAGCTCGGAAATTCGAGCTCGGCTACCTTTGGTTGTAGGTCTCTCAAGCAGCCGTGGTGCTGTGTTGAGGTTCCGAGCTGAGGTCTCCCTCAATTGCCAAGGTGCCAAATCGAGGTCTCCCTCAGTTGTTGAAGTGTCGAGCTGAGGTTTCCCTAACAAGCGAGGTGTCGAGCTAAGGTCTCCCTTAGTTGACAAGGTGCCGAGCTGAGGTCTCCTTCAGAAGTTCGAGCTCGGCTCGACTCGAACTCGACTACCTTTGATTGCATGTCCCCTAGTAGCTGAGATGCCAAGTTAAGGTCTCCCTCAGTTGGAGAGAGAGAGTGGCATTCTTGTAATTTATAAGGAGAGAGAGAGAGATAGGGGTGTCCATGAAAAACCGAAAAACCGAACTGAACCGAGAAAATTGTACTGCATAATGTGGTAAACTGAACCGATCGGTTCGGAATTTTTGAAAAACCGAAGGACCGGTTCAGTTTTCGGTTAACCTACAAAAAACCGACGGTTAACCGAACCGATCGGTATATATATTTATATGTATATTTTATATATACTTTTAATATATGTCACATTTTCTGTGTATTATATATAAATATATACTTATATTATATTTATAATGATCTATTTATAAAAATATTATATATATTATATATTTTTAAAATATTTATAATATATTATGTATCATTTACTATTTATAATATAATATTATTCATATATTTATATAATATATATTATAAATATAAAAATTGAAAAACCGAAGAACCGAACCGGTCAAAAATCGAAACCGGCGGATTGGTTAATTGGTGGTACTGGTTCGACTTTGGTTTGGCAAAATGCGGTTTGGTTTACAAAAAAGGGCCATGGTTCGGTTAACTGAACTATGGATTCCCCTAGAGAGAGAGATGGCAGGAGAGAGAGAGAGAGAGAGAGAGAGAGAGTTGGTAGGAGAGAGTGACATTCTTGTAATTTGAAAGAAAAAAAAAAGCAAAAGGAGAGAGTGGCATTCATGTAATTTCTGAAAAAAAAGGCAAAAAATACTGTCAGATTCCATTTCCCTCATCCTCAGGCCTTCTTACGTACACATTTCAGCTTAATATATTTATATGGATGTTCCACCTTTTCTTGTTTGGGAGTCTTGTAGAGCTGCACTTCATAGCTTTCAATATCTGTGAGTGTTTTTAATTGTTTCCTTATTTGTTTACAGTTCAAGTTTGTTTGTGTGAGTTGGGTTGGTAATGGTGCAAACCTCAACCTTCTGACTCTGGAAAAAAGTTCTTTTAATGTGGGTATATTACTGCTACCTAAAATTTAGGCATGCAGTGGTTCAAATTCAGACCTCAACCTAGAAAGAAATCTTGCCACATCCAACTGATGTCTCTGTTGTCGTTGCACCTTGAGATCAATTGAAAGGGGCTGGGGCGAATCCAACTCATTGTGCAAACTCTTTTAAACTGGCATAATACTCCTCCCACTCCTATCACCTTGTTGTAGCTAAAAATACTCCTGTTGTTGTTTGGCATGTTCCAAATTTCTTTCTTAGTGTCAAAGTGTCAAAGAACATCAGCTTAATGTAAGAAACCGCAAACTAGTTCAAACCTATGATGCCTGAAAGACATGATAACGTAAGAGCTTTGACCAATAAAAATCCCTCATTTTGATAAGTTTTGCGGTATTGTGTCTTTTTGATTTCATAATCGAACCCAAGAAACCCGGAATTACTCAAAATATTAAGTCTCAGTTTTACTGTAAATAGTAATTAGAAAATTATAAATAACCTGGAGGATTGAAAATTAATTCTCAAGTGGCTAAACCAATATGAACCGAACTGGATACAAACTCTATTAATGTGTGTATACAGCCTGTGGGGTACATTGGTCAATCTGTTTACTTTGACATTGATTATGGCCTGCAGAGTCTAAAAACCAGTCTTCTTGAAGCTTTCAGTTGGAGCACTTCTACATGTTTTATTGAGATAAAAATTTGAAGTATTTAAGTTCCATAAGTATAATTGACTTTCACTATCATTCAGCCAAATCAGTTAATATTTGATTGGTCATATTGTCTCTTGTCAACAGTGCATTCTGTAGGTCTTCCTTCTGACTTTTTTTTTCTCTTCAATTTCCTCCATTATAAACCTTCTATATTTATAATTTGAGTCTATAATAACCTAACTTCAGCTTCAACCATATAGGAGCTCACAACCTCCTTAATAAATTATTCAATAAAAGACAAAGCAATAGTGTGGGATGATGGTGAGGCTTCGCTGGTCTGTTGGATTTCTAAAACTTGGAGCAGCAATGAAGCTGAGGCTGAAAGATGAAAATGAGACTCCCGATCTGATGATCTAGGGAGTTAGGGTTTCTGTGCTGAAGAACTAGATGACGAGAACTGGATCCTCCTTGAGTGGAGGAAAAATGGTGTGAGGAATATTCTGAATCTGATGTGCCGAGGGAAAACTGTATTGAATTCCTTTCAATCTATCTCTTTTCTTGTCTGTTCTTGGGATATAGGGAGTTAGGGTTTCTGTGCTGAAGAACTAGATGACGAGAACTGGATCCTCCTTGTCTTTTCTTGCCCACTTTTAGAAAGTGATACATTAGTTAGTTACACCATGTCAGCCAAGGTTGTTACTGGGAGAAGTCATGTGGGGAACATGGCACTGGGTCACACACACCTATTTACATCGCTTTGCCACTGAAGTCTCTGTTTCACCACTATTAATCTTTCTTTTATCTTCCTTTTTCGATGTTTTCAATGAGATGCACTCAACTACCTGGAAACTTTCTTATTGTGTGTTGAAATTAAAGGTTGTTAACAAGAACAAAACCGATGCTGCTCGATTTTCTCCCTTTTGGAATGAAATTATAAGAAACCTACGGCAAGAAGATTACATTACTAACTTGTAAGTAACTTATGCTTCACCGAACTTGATGTTGTTTCAAGCTTGTTAATACATCTATTTGTGTTACAATTCCACTCTCTATTGTTTCTTGTAGGGAAATGGATTTGCTTACCATGCCTAAAAACTCCTGGAAGGTTCCATTGGTTCAATGGCCCCTCTTCCTTCTTGCTAGCAAGGTAAACTCCAATTGTTGCATCATGAACTTATGATTCACAGTTCATTCTATCTTCCTTTTGTTCTTTGTTGTGGTTATTTTTTTCCTTGGTTTTACATCTATGCTTTTTTTTTCATTTATTCAGATATTTCTGGCTAAAGATATTGCAGCAGAAAGCAAAGACTCACAAGATGAGTTATGGGAAAGAATTTCAAGAGATGACTACATGAAATATGCTGTTGAGGAATGCTACTGTACCATTAGGCTTATATTGACAGAAATACTAGATGAGGAGGGAAGGCTGTGGTAAGTATTTGTTCTTTAGCTGATAATGTTTTTTGCAGATTTTAGTTTTCTAGTTTCTATAGGTAGGATGCCTGTAGTCCTGATTTATTGTTCTCTAATGACAGGGTTGAGAAGATATATGAACATATCGATGAGAGTATAAAGAAAAAGGATATCCATGCTAATTTTCAACTAAATAAGCTCCAACTTGTTATTTCTAGACTTACTGCACTTACTGGGATACTGGTTAGTATCATGTTTATCCTCTAATGGTCTATGCAATTCAAAATTGCTTGACCTTTTTTCATTTGGTGTTTTTCTTTTCTCTTTTTTAACTTATTGGTAGTAGAACTATTAAGTTACCTAAATTCTATAGTCTTTTTAGTGGCTCTCCCCATTGGTTTGTTCTGCTATGATCCATTTTTCAGTTTTATGTTTCCCATATCAGCTGCTAGTGTATCTTTCTTGGGTTTTACATTTTACAACCTTTTGATCTTTTGTACATTGGCTGTACAGGCCTTTATCTCTTTATGTTCTCTGTTCTTGTTTGCATCATGCTGATGGTTGCCTACCTTCATGTTTCTTCTCTTTTATTTAATTTTGATTTTTGGACTTTGTTTACTTAGGTATATATTATATACCTTCTATGTTTCCTGCATATTTTGGTATTATTACTATGTTATTGATATAAAAGATGTATGATCCTATGGAATTTCAGAAAAAGGAGGAATCACCCGAAATGACAAAGGGAGCAGTGAAAGCTCTCCAAGATTTATATGATGTTATTCGGCATGATGTAATTTCTGTTAATATGGGGTATGTGCTAACCTACCTGGTGAATGCATTTATGGTTGTGATACTATTTTCTCTATCAAATTGTTGAATTTAATGTTTTTTTCCAGGGAAAACCGTAGTACTTGGAACATGATTTTAAGAGCAAGGACTGAAGGTCGCCTCTTCTCAAAGTTGAAATGGCCTAAAGATGATGAGTTGGTACATATGTGCTTGTATTAAACTTTTCTAAATTATGTTGTAAAAAATATGTATTTCATATTATATTCAATAATATTTGATGATAATAAAATGCAGAGAGCACAAGTAAAGAGGTTGCATTCACTTTTGACTATCAAAGAATCAGCTGCTAATGTTCCAAAAAACCTAGAGGCAAGACGTAGATTAGAGTTCTTTACAAACTCCCTATTCATGCAAATGCCTACAGCAAAGCCAGTTCGTGAGATGTTGTCCTTTAGGTCATTTTCTTCCCATTATTTTTTCTTCATGCATCCTATTTGTTTTATAGTTTGAGTTCCATGAAGTTGTTGACCTTTTCCCCTTTTGTATATGTGTATCTTTATCTTGCAGTGTTTTTACTCCATATTACTCTGAGATTGTACTTTATAGCATGCCTGAACTTCTCAAGAAAAATGAAGATGGGATTTCGATTTTGTTTTACCTCCAAAAGATATTTCCAGGTACCTGTATTCCTGTATATACGTATACATTTTTCTATTCCCTTTTTTATTTGAGTATGAATATCTATAGCTTCTATGCATAAAAGAAGTCATGTTTTGCTTGATCTGGATTGTATCCAACCCACCACTTTGTAAGACAGTCAGTTACTATCAAGTGTGTCAATTAAATATTTTACCCATGTCAAACCATGTAGGATAGTCATTAAGTTTGACCTTGTTGATTTCCCATTACCAGCAGGACCTTAAAATATTACCAGTCATTAAGTCTGGATTGCCCCTGCTACACCTGCCAAGGTTTAGCTGAATTAAAGTTTTCTGGTGGTGGGGTCCAATAGGATGTTATAATAGCTCTAGAGGTAGACTAAGCCATCGAATGCCATATTTGAACGATATTATCAGTGGTGAGATCTTTGAGAAGCCCTGTTGTTTGACCCATGAAGTACTTTCCTTCTGGATTTATTGATGACAGTGTTTTTGTCTTGAAGTGACATTAATGTTATTAATATGATATGGTGACATAGATTGTCTCTATGCTATCATTATACATCTTATTTGTTTAGTGCATTGTCCTACCATGTTTCTTTTTCTTTTTCTAGAAATATTTCCTTTGGATTTGGTTAGTTTATTAAAGTAAATGAAATGTTGGTTATTTCAGATGAGTGGCAGAACTTTCTTGCTCGAATTGGCCGAGATGAAAATGCATTAGATTCTGAGCTTTTGGATAATCGTGATGATGTCCTTGAACTCAGATTTTGGGCTTCTTACCGTGGACAGACATTAGCAAGGACAGGTATCTCTTATTTCTTGGCATTGGATTTGGTTGCACAACTTAGGAAAATCTAAACTTAGCTATGAATGTAAAAGGTGATAGCTGATGTCAGCATCTTAGCTTTTCTTTCTTAAGGGAAAAAAACCAAAGCAATCATCTTGTTGTATGCTAATATTTTCAATTGCAACTTGCGAGTTCTTGATGAATAGGCAATCCCTGTGTTCAGTGTATATTTAATATTTATGACCTAGTAGAACCTTAAAACTTACTTATGACCTAGTATTGACTATAAATTACTTATCTAAGGTGAAAATCCAAAGTGAAATTCAAAACACTCAAAATCAAATAACCTAAAGATGAACATTCCTGGTATTATCTTGAATCTTTTCCTTGATTGGTCATAGTTTGCCAACAGCAGGTTTAATCTACATGATGTTGACCTCTGAGGGGAAGTATTTTGACTTTCTTTTTAAGGCATCAAAATCAACACTCTTGGAAATTCTTATTCATCAAAAAAAAAAAACACTCTTGGAAATTCTTTTTTTTTCTTTCTGAAAATTGGTGCCAATGGAAATTGGTGGGATTATGGCTCATAGGATATCAACCTTGATTCTAAACTTTTGGGCCTATTATAAACTACAGATTATTGTTCTCTTCTGTACACAATTGTGGTTATAATTTCTCTCACTCATTGATCATGATTTGATTTATTTCCTTTTGTATTAGCTGATGTTCTAGTAGGAAATTTAGACATCTATTTGTGGTTACAAGATGGAATAAGCAAGTAGTTCCATCCATAGTTCCCTAATCCAGCTTAAGTGGGGCTAGAGGTTAGTCTTATGCTTGGACTGCAGATTCACGACCTTAGTTACCAAATTCTAGTTCATGATTTCAGGAGTTCAAGAGTGCAGATCTGCAATAGCAACTCAATGAATTGGTCTGGAGTATCCTTATGATGGATGCCAGAACAATCTCCCTCCCTCTCTCTCTCTCTCTCTCTCTTAGTCATTCCCTCACTCTATATTTTTAATAGTTTTTTTTAACCACAAACATCCTCGGTGGATGGGAGGTTACCGGAAACTTTGTTAATCAATTTGCAAAATAATAACCTAGAAAGAGGACATAAATACCTTATCCCTCTGAGAAGCTAAAAGATCTCCAGCTCATAAAATAAACATAATGTGTCTAAAGATCTAAAAAAACACACTAGCTGACTCTGATAATTGGTAGGCCAAATATATCTCAACGCAAAGTCTCTTAGTAGATGTCTGTAAGTTGTTAGAATCATAGAACCCCTGACTCGCAAGGGTATCACAAACCAAATTCGCCAGTCAATCTGCCACACCATTTCCTCAACGATAAATGTGGCACATTTTCCAGGACACCCCTTCCAACTCACGTCAAACGTTATGAATTACATACGACAGACACCAGGGCTCGGCAGTGCTGCTATTTTTGGGGGTATCCTATGCATTTTGCAAATCGGATGCCCTCTAAAAGAGCCAACGACCCAGCAACCATGTCAGTATGAATACCATAATAAGAGGAGAAGGCTGCAATAAAAGCACAGGAGAATCATGAAGGATTCTCCCCTGCCTCCAACCACCACCACCTATGCTTGGATTTCCCCTCGAAGCTCCATTCACACAAAAAAGCACGAAGTCCACAGGAGGCGGCATTAGACTTACAAGTTTCACTTTCTTGGTCCTACATTGCATTTTCATCAGACCAAGGCTTTTTAGTTGAACTGTATCCACCTTACTATTGTCCCACTCTATCACTGACAAAAACAGCAGAGCTTGAAACAAGCCTTGACTTTACCAATCACCACAGGTGAGCTGTTGGACTTACTTTCCATGCTTTTATTATTTCTTTCCCTCCTTATCTCCCAGAAGATAATAATGGGTAGCAATCCTACAATCACTCCCCCCTTTTTCTTTTCCAGATTCAAGCTCAAAGTATCTGCTCACATGACAGGAAGTAGAATTATTTCCAAACAAGTGGAGAAAAAGCTTCATGGCAAAATGCCTCCAAACCTTCTCAGCTAACTTCCTTCTTATAAAAAGATGTTCACTGTCCTCAACTTGATGATATTTACATCAATTGCACCTTGAGCAGAGGAATCGGGGCCTGTATATTTGAGTCTACTGGGAGCTTATTCCTCCACACCCTCCAAGTCAAAAAAGCTAGCTTTGGTGGAATATAAGGATTCCAAAACCACTACCAACCATCCCAATAAGGCTTCCTGGATCTTTTTTTTTTCGAATCTGGTTTTGTAGTGAACTTACCTCACTACTTTATCCACCTTATCAGAAATAAAGAAACCATGCCCAGCAATTTTGTTGAGAGTATTCCCATCCAAGATGTGGCCAACTTCACCACAATGCCATTCTCCCTTAGTTCAGGAGCTGGTTACTTTAAGAGAAACTTCAATGTTACTTTGATCAGTAATAGAATAGAAGAGAGGGCCCTCCCCTAGCTAGTTATCATACCAGAAACTTACCTTTACCAATTAACTTCATGGCATTTTCCAGCAGCTCATGTCTCAATAAGAAAATTTTCCTCCAAGTTCTCAATCCTGATTTAGGCTCTTCTGCTGTAGCAATACTCTTCCCCTTTAGATATTGTGAGTGCCCTTGCTTGCATGTAAACAGTAATAATTTTCTCTTATTTACTGTTGGCTTATTGTTTTATGCAGTTCGTGGGATGATGTACTATAGGAAAGCTCTTATGCTTCAGAGCTATCTGGAAAGAGTTTCTTCTGGAGGTTTGCACATTCAAATTTTGTCTATTCATAATTGACCTAGCATGTCGACATGCTCTCATCATTTCTTGCTATGTCTCGGTGATGATAGATACTGAAGCTACACTTTGTGGTGATGAAGCAACTGATAAACAAGGTTTTGAGTTTTCTCGTGAAGCTCGTGCTCAGGCTGATCTGAAGTTCACATATGTTGTTACTTGCCAGATTTATGGGAAACAAAAGGAAGAACAAAAACCAGAAGCTGCAGATATTGCATTGCTAATGCAACGGTTAGCTATATAAACCATTTTCCTTAGTTGGTCCTACCTATTTTGTTTTCTTTCTCCTTTTATCTGCAATAACTGTCTCCTATTAAACTTCTTTTCTTCAAATTATCAGCTTTTTAGCCCATTTTCCACTTAGTTTTGATAATTTTCTTTTTCAATTAGGAATGAAGCTCTTCGAGTTGCTTTTATTGATTCAGTTGAAACGAAAAAGGATGGTAAATTTCAGATGGAGTTCTACTCAAAACTTGTGAAGGGTGACATCAATGGGAAAGATAAGGTTTATATTTTCTTAAATATGCATATTTTCCCTACAACTCATGGTTTTCATTGTCTTGTATTGATTTCATAATTCCATAATTGCAAAAGTGTATGTTGCAGTTCTCTGAAGTTCTTTTCATTGTTTTTTCTGGATGGAGAAATTTTTTATTACAAATAAGATATTGTTTTTTCCACTACCTAGAAAGTGCTCATTAAAAATACATAAAGAAGAATGAAGAATGATGTCCTGATTATAAATAATGTGCGTAGAAGCAACCTGGTGGAAAGAGCTTTTCTTCAGGTTTCTTGGTCAACATTACTAATTGACATAGCATTAAGGTGGACCTTCCTAAGAGAAAAATAAGACAAATGCAAAATAAGACAGCACAATTATAACCAATGTTTTAAAATGCGGAGGTGTGACATGAGGCATTCCACTACTTGGTGTGAGGTGTAGTTCAGAATGTAAGAGGTGTAATCGTGCAAGCCTCCTGAGCACAAAGAAGCACAAGCCTCCTTAAGAGGAGGGGATGAGGAGGGGGAAGAGGAGAGAGAAGAGGAAGGACATTCTTATCTTTTTCTCATCTTTTTTGATAAATAAGAAGGATAAATTCCATTAATAAAAGTTCCGCACCAACATCTGAAAGAAAAATCTTTACAAACTTTCCCTATTGAGCCCATTAATAACAGTAGGTAGAAAGACAAAAGATATAAAACAGATTCAGTCTACAATTGAGCCCAATACAAACTTTCCCTATTTACCCCTTGCTTTGCAAGACCATCAACCATAGAGTTTGCTGATCTCCCCACCCATTGTATTCTCACTGTCAAGCTTCTTGTTAGGCAGTTGAATTTTTTAATTTCATTCTTAAAACACCACACTATAGATTTCGGATTTTGTAGCCAGCCCACTACCACCTTGGAGTCCCTTCTATTATCAACTGTACCACACCTATCTGCACTGCTAACTGTAATCCCTGGATAGCAGCAGCAAGTTCCGCCCTAGTAGAGTTTCCAACTCCTATGGGTCCTGAGAAAATAAGAACCACATTCCCACTCTCATTCCTCAGTACCCCTCCCACCCCTGACGGACCAGGATTACCAAGACTACTTCCGTCGAAATTCAGCTTCAAGAATCTTTCAGGAGGGGGTTCCCAAGCCATACTCACTTTAGTCTTTATGGATGAACAATTAGCCATTGCTAACCAATTCCTCCAAACATCATTAAATGAGAATTGATGGAATAGGTCCAGTGATTTTAGCCACAAGATCACCCTATTTAGGATGCAGTCCATCTCTTCTGGGCTTCTCTTATCCTCTTGGAAAATTCTGGCATTCCTTTCTTCCCACACGGACCAGGTCAATGCTGCTCTTGCACACCTCCACATAATTCTTCCTCTTCTGTGCCGCCAAGGGAAGAAAGCAGGATCAGAAAACAAACTTGCATCTGCTGGCCTAACCAACCTGCACCCAAACAATGAGAAGAGCCACTCCCATAACTCTACAGTAAATAAACAAGATATTAGTATATGGTTATAGTCCTCACCATGTGACCTGCAAAGAATACACCAGGAAGGTGAGAGACAGAGAAAAGGTCTTCTCTTTTGTAGAATGTCAAAGGTGTTTATTTTCCCACAATACACTTCCCAGCAAAAAGCCATAACCTTAGGGGGGACAGGCCTGCACCAGATTTCCTTAAAAGGGAAAGGCCGGTTGGGGGTAGACTAAGTAATGGATTTAAAGAAAGAAGCGCAAGAAATGGATTCATTCCGTTGGGGTGTCCAAATCCGATTATCAGATTCAGAAGGGTCCAAACATATTGTATCAAGTAGACTTAGCAGATTTGTGAGAGACAATTTCTTCTTCCCTTAAACCTCTACGAAACCCAAAGTCCCAATTTGGTGTTAAAGGATCATTCATAATGGAAAAAAACTTACACAAAATGCTTTTTATACCTTGAAACAGAGAACAAAGAAGGGAAAAGGTCCTTCAATGGAGCCTCTCCCACCCAAGTATCCTCCCAAAATAGGACTGAATTACCATTGCAAACATCATACCTGACAAAACTGAGAAACTAAGGAAGAATGCCATGAATAGCTTTCCAAGGTGTTGCCAAGGTTGCTCGCCATGATACTCTAGCATTCCATCCATTTTCTGAGCGACCATGAATACTACTCACCACCTCATGCCAAAGTCTCTCTCTCTCCACTGGCCACCTCCACATCCACTTCCCCAGCAATGCTTTATTTTTTTAATCAAATTCCCTTACCCCAATCCGCCTTCCTCTTTTTTCCGGCATACCACCTCCCACTTTATCAAGTGATCCTTTTTACTTTCTGCCGACTCCCAAAGAAAATCTCTCATCAACTTTTCTGGCTTCTTAGCTTCCCTAGGTGGTATCCTAAACATAGACAGGAAATAGGTTGGTAAGTTAGCAAGTGTGGCTCTTATCAACGTGATTCTACCCCCCTAGGATAAGTAGTTTTTCCTCCATGATGTTAACTTCTTTTGGAACCTCTCTACCACTGGACACCAAAAGCTACTCTCCCTAGGGTTTGCCCCAGCGGAAGCCCAAAGTAAGTCATAGGCTAGGATGAGATAGAACATCCTAAGCTTCTTTCTATAAACTCCACCTCCCTATCCTCCAAATTAACACCAGCTACACAACTCTTTTCGAAATTGACACTCAAATTTGACAATCTCTCAAAGCTTCTAACCAAATCCTTGAGATTTCTCACTCTCTCCATATCATCCCCATCACAGAAAATCAGAATATCATCTGCAAATTGGAGATGGGTGACTGGGATACCATCCCTCCCTATTCTCCACCCTTTAATCACATCTTCTCTATCAACCTTTGAGATCATTCTACTAAGCACTTCTGCTATTAGAGTGAAGAGGAAAGGTGATAGAGGGTCCCCTTGCCTAATACCTCTACAGGCTGGGAAGAAGTCCTTCACCACTCTATTAACCAAGACAGAGTAATGGCAGGAACTAATACATCCAAAAATCCAACTACACCACTTATTCCCAAATCCACAAACATAGGCCTTCTAGATCCAACTTACAAACAAAGCCTTTTCTTTTAGATCTTCTCATATTTTCCACGCACTCATATCCTCTCGGACTTACTATATGATTCTCTAAAATGAAAAGATCTTTTATATTAAGAAAAATGAAAATGCATAAAACTAGCCGAAAGGAAGATCTTATTTTTTTCTTTTGTTAATAAATATCTTTCTCTTTTTATTTTCTTTCTTTTCTCTATTTTCCCTCTTTCTTTAATAAATATGGATTGTTGCATTTAGACTAGGAAGGAGTGTCCATCTTGCAAGAAGAGAAGTCACCACATGAACTAAGAGGAGTCTCAAATCAAGAATGGAGCCTAGGACTAGGGGGAGAGCTCCATTGCAACAATGGACCTTGGGGCCACGAAGGTGCCTTAGGACATTTCCATGAGCCAGGGAGGGTTTCTAGTATGTAAGTGAAAAAAACTTTGGGCGCTTAGGTGGGAAAAGGTCATTCTTTTCTACCTCCTTACATACACCAGTCATTGAGACGTGATTTGCTTTGATTTCCCCTTGTTTAGGCCTCTATCCTCTTCTTTCACCTCCCCTTCTTGTATAACTTGAGTGTTGTCGCCTACAATTGATTCATGTTGTTGAGGATATGTGATGCAGTTCACAATCATAGTCCAGAAAACATGGAATCATATGACTCTAGTTGTTAGTGGACTTCTAACAGCTAATTCATTAAAAGCTCCAATAGCTAGCTTGTTAGTGGGTTTCTAACGGCTAGTTTTATTAAATGCTCTAACAGCTAGTTTTACATTACATGCTTCAACTACTAGTTTTTGTTCTCTATATAAAGCCTTGTAATCTCAAGCTAGAGGCATCAAGTTCTTTCTTTTGTTTTGAGAAGCCTAGAGCTGTCTTTGAGAGTTGAGAGAGTCCTCCTTTGGGTGAGTGAGTCCTCTCTTCTTTGGGTGAGTAAATCCCTAACCCCTTTGGGTGAGTGTGCCCCCAACCTTGTTGCCTCATATTATAAGCCATCTTTGATTAATGAAGTTCCATCCGATTCTCTTCTTCTTTTTGCTATTTCTTTGAGCAAATTTCTTTTACATTCTCGCTTCATATTTGAACTGCATCAATATGGCTGGTAGGCTTCCTTTTTATATAGTATTTCTTTCCTTCTCTTCTTCCAAAAATAAAAGCGCCATATTCAAGTCCACCTAGAGCACATAATGACTTTTGCTTTGGATCAATACTACCTATGCTAGAGGGTTCATTGAATTTAATCTGCACAGCATCAACCTCGTCTGAGATCTCTATTTTATGTCTGAGATAATCTCGGATTTGAGCAATAGGAGGAGGGGTAGAAAGATCTTGACAAGGCTGCTATTCAAAACTTCAACATCAGCCTATTAATCGTCAAGGCTCCATTGGTAAAGCAAAAGCCTAGCTTGTCTTGATAAGATGATAAACCCGTCTATGTTCTATTGTGTGTCCCTCTTTATTTGAACTTTAAAGTCATGTGGTTACCTAAACTAGCACCTGATTTCCTTAAGTTATTCCTGTTTCCTTCTGTTGGCCTTGACATTACTGGTTGAGCCGGAGCTGATTTAGTTTGAGTCAATTCCCTAATTCCATTCTGGTCTACCATGCCCTTTTTATTTAAACTGCTACCTGCCCTTGTAGTCAGTTGCTTCATCGATTCATGCACAACAGCCTGTGCATATTGTTTTAAGTGCAGTGCTTTGATTTTCTGCTAACCGCCCAGATATTCCTTTCCCAAGTTGGTCTCCATTTAACATAAGTTTCAGCTTCCCCAAGTTGGTTGCCATTTGCACATCCAGACCATTCTTGGGCTTGCTGATTTCTCTTCTAGGTTCTTCAATTTTTCCAGTGTCTCTTCCCTTCTCTTCATATTAGCAGACTTCATATCTTCCATTCTTTGCAAGAACTTCTGTAACATTTCTGAGAGTAATGTTCACCAAGCAGCTATTCTTCCTTTAGGAAACACAACTTGTTTTTTATTATTGCCGCCACGAGAAAAATGACAAAAGCATAGGCAGCAGAATCAAGAGCGATACTTTTTTCCATCTTCAACTCATCTTGGATAGTCATTTTTTTTTTAGCAAGTCATGCTGCAATTCTCAAGACTGCCAGAAATAAATGGGAAGGATCTGTAAGGAATGTTTAATCAGTGTCAATCTCGTTCCCAAGGAGGATGTGTAACATTAGTTCTGTTATTCTGCTCTTCCCAAACCAGTCATGCATTTCCAAATTACCTTTCCCTTCTTGCTAGAAATAGTGAGGAAGAATGGTTTGAATAGGCTTCTTATGTCTACTGGTGGCTCCCACCTGAACCAAGAGAAGAACCTTTTCCAAATACACTAGACAAAAGAACAGGAGCTTAGTAGGTTGGATTGCACAAAATGAGGAAACTAACACCAAATATGAACAGTTCATGTAATTTTGAAGGATAGCTTTTTTTGCATGGGTTGCTGCACTTGTGAAGATCCTCTATTTTGACTAGTTAGGTGGACGCAAAGTAGTTTTTCCACAACAATTGTAGTCTCATGCACTATACTGAGAATATCATGTTAAAGCTGAAGTAGATAATGGTAATGAGTGAGGAGCCTTTCTGTGGGTGTCTTCTATGTTTTTGAGCCCTATTTTCTTTGCCTTTGTACTACTTTTGAAATGATGGGTACAAGTAATCCATTCTTGACAACTATGAATAGTGTTGAAGATTAATTAGTTTTATGATGTTTTTCTGAGTAGATGTTTTATGTTAGTTGTTAGATAGGAGGTGGKGACCACAGTAGTTATGTGAGTCCAAATTTTATTATGTTTTTGAGTNNNATATATGCTGTTTTATGTTTTGCCTCCCTATAAGGGCATAGTTGTCTTTGTACTGTTCTATTATTTTAGTATAAATAATAAGTGAAGGGGGCGGGCAGATTATTGCTCTCTTTTCTTTTCAACTTCTCTTCTTCTCTTCTTCTCCTTCTCTCTTCCTTCTCTCTTCAAGAAACTACTTTTCTTTTATATTTTTTTAATTCAGCAGATTTCTACTAATAACATTCCTGTTTTGTTGTCCATTTTTGCTACTATTGGTATGTACTACCACATTCTTATACCATGTTCTTTATTCATTGATGATGATTTAATCCATTCATTTGAGTTTCATTTTCACTTTCTTTTTGTTTTTGGCAGGAGATCTATTCCATAAAACTTCCAGGAAATCCAAAACTAGGTGAAGGTAAACCTGAAAATCAAAACCATGCAATTATATTTACCCGTGGAAATGCTGTTCAGACAATTGACATGAACCAGGTAAGTAGTATCCTTTTTCAATTTATAATGTCTTCCAAGTTCCAACCACCATTTTTAGAAAGATTTGTTTTTTTTTCTTGATAATTAGAAGGAAAGATTTGCTACTCTATAATTTTACATAATATGGTCATTATGGTAGGAAGGAGAAGTGGCATTTGTTATGAAAGAACCAGGCCTCTGCTGTTTTCTTCTGGAAATTTTGAATAAAGTGAAATCTAAATGTCATGCTTGTCATGGAAAGTTGATTGTTCTACTAATTCATGTGCTACAATAATCTATGAATGAACCATTTTTTGGAAGTGGAGAGGAAGGAATCCTACCAAATTTGATATGAGAATTTCTCTTGCCATTAACAGAAAAGAGGTGTTTATTCTTCTTGTTATTTGTAGGGAATGAAGCATTGCCAAATGCCAACTGATCAATATTGGAAAATATGGAGTTATTGTGTAAGAATCAAAAAGGGTAGAGCAAGTAAAGAAAATGTCTGAAGTAAGAATTGAACTTTGTGTCAAGGGGTACAGATTTTATTGAACTTTTAACAGATTATCAAGGGGGATTCTAAGATAATAGTGGGGTGGCTGAAGGATTTGCATACAGTAATTTGTACTTATAGGAGGTTATCAAGAGATATAATTGACTGACTACTAATATGGATGTAAAGATTCAATGGAAAGGAGATCAGCTAATGGGTTAGCAGACTATTTAGCTAAGCAAGGGGTGAATAGGGATCATTTATATTGGGCTCAATGTAATTTTTCTTACATGCCTGAGGTTTAATCTCATGCCTCTGGTTGGGGTGTCCTAATTGTTGCCCATACAGAAGGATTGTCATTTTCTCTGCTTCTTAGATTTCTTTCATAGTACCATCAGTCAACAATTTGGTTCTTTTTCCTCTCAAAGCTTGCATTAACCTTAGCTTCTTTGGCATCTAATTATACCATGTTGACTTTATCAACATGCCAGAAATGAAAATTCTATCTTCATTGTAAATTCTGAGAGAAGCTTTGGTCCTGGGTGAGAGGTCTGTTTGGTGTGAAAGACTGCTTTGTTGAATTGGTTGGAGCTTTTTTTCAAAGTCAGCAGCTGAAAAGCTTGAGCAAAGAGGGTGCTCTAGTCTGGAAGATAGTCTTTTTTCTGTTTTGGGTCTATTTGGACTGAAAGAAACAATTGGATCTTTGAACACAAAATTGGGTCAGAATTAATTGTGGAAATGGAGATACAAGGCAAGCTATACTGATGGTTGGGAATCCATAAATTACTTGGGGGAAAACTGCATAATTTGTATAACTTTTATAATGATAAGGAAAGCTTTTTTGCATAATTGTGGGGAGCAAAGCAAATTAGTTGGAATTTTTGGCACATTCCTATTGTGCATTCCCTTGGTGTACATGGATGATGGTGTAATGTTGTTTTGAAACTTCAAATTAATATATTTCTTTACTTTATCTTCTTCAGGGAAAAGAAAAATCTCATCTGCCCCATGCATCTGAAAGAATAGATCACACGCACTCCTTATTGTGTAACTTACTTCTCTGGTTAGGTTTGCTGTAAACTTAAGGTTGGGCAGAGTGGGGGCCCCAAGAAGCCTAAGTGATGCTTAGCAAGAGACACTATACATTGAGTGGAGGACAATTGGGGAGAGGATATTTGAGATATGTGTGTAAGGGGGTTTTAAGGTATCTGCATTGGTTAGTGTCCTTGTGGTGGAACACAGTCATCTATAGGCAATTTTCTTGGGGTTTTCTTAAATTTTTCTTGAGATGGCTTCTCTCTAGGGATTTCATGGGTTCGCTTTTTGTATAGAAGTTTTACTCAGCTAGGTCAATTATGGTGTTACATCAGAGGTCAAGGAGTTGACTCGTGTGAATCCCAAGAAAATATTTATGACTTTGGATAGGATAAGTGATGCAGCCTATAATCATGCTCCAAGAGGCACCATTATCATATTCTAATAGCCAGAAAGTTAGTAGTGGGCTTCTAGCAGTCATGGTTCTCAATATCGGAAAGATTTGGTGAAATTTCCCTGAATGGAGGCAGGGTGAGGTGTGCTGGTGCCTCTCTCTTTGTAGGCCTCTCCTGGATAGAGAAGTGAAAGAATGTTAGTGCTGCTGGCCAGACTTCAGGAGACAGAGATTCAGCCAGAAAATTCTGATGAGAGATGGTGAAAAGACCGAAGGAGAACAAAACTGATATATTTTCAGTTAATTCATTCTAAAAAGCCTTGGTCAGGAATCAGGTGGAAAGTTATCGCATTGGAGGCATGTTGGGATACCCAATTCCCCCCAGAATTGAAGCTTTTGTGTGGCTGGTGGCAATGAACAGCACCCTTATTCATGATCATTTGAAAAAACAAAAAAGAGGTTTCTTGCCTCAATTGCCTAAGGAGATATGATGCATTTGTTGGTCGACTTTATTTATGTGAGCTGTATATGGTTATTCTACTTTCACCTCTTCAAAATAGGCAGATGAGATCCTCAATTGCCTAAGGAGATCTTTGAAAAGTGGCCAAGAATCTGTGGGGGGAAGGTGGCTAAAATCATGTAGAGAGAAGGAATGATGTGTTGTTATTGATTATAGATTAGTGGAATGGATGTTAACTCTCCCAGACTTGGAGACTCGAGGAGAGAACTTTGGCTCGAATTTCTGGAATTTTTTGAGTCTTTGTTAATTGTTGCAAGAGTATATGTTTTTGTCTGGCCTTCTGTTCTTTTTTAAGTCTTATTCCCTGTTAGCTGAATTGTAAAGTACAAGTATTAGTAGCATAGCAAAAATGCGTTCCTCGTCATTACTATGTTTGCTCGCGGTAATTGTGGCCTCTCGGGAGAATTGATGACTGCATCTTTGATGCACTGCTAGTACTAGTACATCTGAGAATTCTTAAKTGGCTAGTTGTAAATAGCCCCAGGGCTATGGAACAAAGGCTTATCCTGGATCTACATTGAGGTATTGACAGTGATTCTCAAATATCACAGAACAGAATGTGATACGATGAGATAGAATGCAATAGAAACAAAGGTGTCAAGTGGAAGTGCAGTTATGTATGTAGCTGAGGCATCCTAACAGATGTATATAGACTTGAACCTTACTCCTACATGACCCGATCAATTGGATGAACCATATAGCCAAGAGAAATCATGAACCAAAATGAAAGAGCTTGCCCCACCCATGAGTAAATATTTCATAGTAGCCTCATTAGACTGTACATCTCTCTTGGTATATHCAGATAATAGGTAGGAGCATAAACTGAAACATTCCGGAGCTACAAAGATATTAAATTGTTTGCACTACATAAAAACATTCCTCCTAGAGTAGTTGTTTATATGAACAACAGAAACCCTGTTATAGCCATTTTTGTACATTCAATGTTCTCTACGGATAGAGGGATACGGAGAGTTGAACATAGTAAAGTGAAAGATTTCGTTGAAATTGTTCGTATGGAAATTTCCTGAAAAGCTAATCATAGGTTCTCTCCATCGGAATGGTCGTTTGCAAAGGGAGACAGATTTATTGGTCATTGATTTTTGTTTATCCTAGACCTAGTAACAACTCATATTTGGTAGCTTTTTAGGTATCTTTTTGGCTTCTCATGGTTGTTCCTAAAGTTATTGAGAGAGAATCTTCATTTTTGGCCTTTTGTGGACTGTGGATGTAAAGGTGTTATTGTGGACTTTGATTCCTTGTGCTGTCAATATATTTGGAAAGTGAAGAACAATCATTTTTATGAAAGAGAAAGATCTTTGTAAGTTGTGAAGGCTAGCATTCTTATTATGGACTGGGTTCTCTGATAAAGATTTTGGCTCATTTATGGGGCTTATGTGTTGGATGTAGAGGGTGGTATATCTAAAGCAATGCAAGCTATTTTTTGAAATGTCATTTCCTACCTTTTTACTCTTTCGTACATTTTTTTTTACTTGTTTATCAAGAAAAATGCCAAATATTTGTATTTAGATTTAGAAATAATTAGTGTTTAGAAAACCAGACCGGACTTCCCACTCAGACTAGTTGAACTGTAACCCGAGGCCCTGATCTGTTCGATCACACCCGAATAACCATGTTTACTAAAAACCGGTGAAAACCAACTGACCGACCGGTTTAACTGGAAAACTGGTGAAGCGGTGCATGTTTCATAAAACCGCCCAGGCCATTAAATACTTGAAATTTTAAAGTGAGTTAGATATGACTTAAACCCATGACCTCTTATTTTCATATATTGCTTAATTTTCACTAGTCCACCTCTTCATTTGTGCTATTTAATGACTCATTATTGTATATGTTGTTTTATTACGCACATATTTTAAAGAAAATGTAAATTATGAGACTTGAACCTTGGTTATTTGCTTTAAAAATTAAGGAATTTGCCATCCATCCGCTATATTTAAATATATTAAAAGTTATAAAATATGTTATATATAATATTTATATAATCTGTAGTATATATACATATATGCCACGTCATCATGGTTAGACCTCCAGTTCAACCCCGGTTGAACCTCTGACCAGTGAAATAATCCTCTGACGTAATCACGGTCTGATTCTCTGAACATTGGAAATAATCCTCTTGTTCAACCCCAGTTAAATGGGTGAGCAGGTCAGCAAATACTATGGCTGATTCTTTGGCCAAACCTGGGGTTTCCAGGGAAGATCTTTTTTGTGCTACCTTGTAACTTGTTTTTGTGATTTGGAAAGCTGTTCTTAACTAGTATGGAGAGGTCGCATCTCGTGCCTCTCCTTGGGGAGCTTGTACTTTCTTATTCTTTGTAATTTATAAAATTCTTTCAATTATCAAAAAAAAACAATTACATTTGTTTCACCAATCCTGTCAAAACTGCTATTCAAAGTTTAGAATAGCCATGTCTGAAATGAAGCATATATTTTCTTTCTTAAGATGTGATATTCCCCTCTTTATAATTCATGCATATTGTCATATGGACTACCTCCATTGTTTGACTGTAGCATTCAGTTTTCTCAATATTCACTTACTATTTGTAGGTTTTCCAACATTTTTTATTCTGTCTTCTTTCTAGGATAATTATTTTGAGGAAGCATTGAAGATGAGAAATCTTCTTGAAGAGTTTAACTGTGACCATGGTCTTCGTCCTCCAACAATCCTTGGTGTTAGAGAACATATCTTTACAGGAAGGTACTTCTCCATTTATAACCTCATATGTCCACCTGTTTCTGTAATATCATGTAATTATCTATTTGAACTTTCTTTATGTAATGGATGCAGTGTCTCTTCTTTGGCTTCATTCATGTCCAACCAAGAAACAAGCTTTGTGACTTTAGGTCAACGTGTCTTGGCAAATCCTCTGAAGTAAGTCCACATGTAGGTTCTTTTTTTGTAGATCCTGTTCAGCTCAAATAATCTGAGGAGAGATCTTTTCCAAATACAGGGTCCGGATGCATTATGGCCATCCAGATGTTTTTGATAGAGTTTTCCACATAACAAGAGGTGGTATTAGCAAAGCTTCGCGCGTTATCAACATTAGTGAAGATATTTATTCAGGTGCAATGTTTTTCCAACTGAGTTGTCCTTTTGGTGGATCAATTAGCTGATTTGTTTGGCCAAATTTGTCATCACCAAATTCATTTTAGTGTTGTTTCATGGTTTAGCAGCCATTTTATTGCATATGTGGGTTACGAAGATTTGCTTTTCCAGGTATTAGAAAAAGATTGTCTATATTAGTGAGAAATTGGGAGAAATTGACATTAATATAAATTGCATTCAATCCCTATCCAGATGAAATTGATCAAAAAAGGTTGTGAAGGTTATAATGAGAAGAAAATGAAGTAGAACCCCTGTTTGAAGGAGGAAGACCCCTCTTTGTGTCTCAAATAAGAGAAAGAAGATGGGGTAGAGCCCCTGTTCATGGTTATATCCTGCATATACAACATAAATTAGTAGGAATATGCAAACAACTGCTAATTTAATATAAGATAAAACACAACATATGTCAGGCACTCATCTAGGCAGAGGTGATGGGATTAGGCTGTCAATGAAATGAAACTGTCAAATTGTTGTAGGATTGCAGATTGTAATTGATTGTTTGAGGCTTTGAGCATATGTGTATGCTCCTGTGGTCTAACCAACTAAAAGAAAGAGAGGAAGGGAAAATATGTGATTGCAGATTGTTTGAGGCTTTGAGCATATGTGATTGCAGATTGGCCAATTTTTATTTTATTTTTTGCATCTTTTTCATTATGCTCTTTTTTCCCTTGTCTTTGAAACTGGAACTTCTGGAATATTTGTAAGGGAAAATATCTTACAATTGGGGAGGAATACAGGATTGGTAAAACAGCATGTGCCAATTTTCTGCATATCCTATATTGAAGGACCAGGCCACCATTAAATGAGACCTATCATAGATATTAGTTAGAAATTCCGAATTATGAGATCAACTGTGTTTTCTGCTGTCTTAGGAACTCTCCCAAGTTATGCATGGGTTAGATGGTTAAAGTTCATCTGATTTTTGCCATAGTTGTGAAGGTGAAGCCCAGGCAACAAGGTATCTTTGGGGTGTGGCCTTGCCCAAGCACTTAATTGTTTATGTACAATGGTACTTTTTATTTTTTATTTTTTTTATGCTATTACATTACATTATACATTATTAAACTAAATTATTTATTTTGTGAGTTTATAATATTTTATAGTTCTTAGACTAGTTTTTTATTATTTTCTTCTTTGTTTTGGTTCAATCAACACACAATTGGACGTTATCTTGAACCCTTTTAAGACTTTAAAACCTGAACTGATAAGTAAAGAATAACTTGGAGATTTTATCCAATCAACACTTTATTATTTCCTTTCTATAAGATAATCCTTAAAGATAACTACTGTGTGTGTGTGTGTATTTATTTATTGATTTTAAGAAAATTCATTGCCTTGCCGCTCCCTGTGACCTTCACCTTGGCACCCTGAAAACTATGATTGTTGCTTAATTTGATGTAGACAATCTCATAGGCAGGACCATTAAATGGCAAGCCTGATCCTCTACATGTTAGGCATATGGCAAGTTAGTTTTGGCCCCAGTTGTATACAAATGTCTTCTCTCCCCAGGCATAAGGTGATTGCATTTGCAAATATCAATGTTAATGAAGAAACACTTTTAGACATCTAGTTTCTAACTTATAAACCACATGCAGGATTCAATTCAACTTTGCGCCAAGGCAATGTTACTCATCATGAGTACATTCAGGTAATATGTTGGCATTAATTTATTTGATGCATATACATGGTTTGAAGTTTTGCTTACCTTCAATTTACAGGTTGGCAAGGGGCGTGATGTTGGGCTCAATCAGATTGCTTTGTTTGAAGGGAAAGTAGCTGGTGGAAACGGTGAACAAGTTCTTAGCAGAGATGTTTATAGACTTGGGCAGCTCTTCGATTTCTTTCGCATGCTGTCGTTCTACTTTACTACTGTTGGTTTCTACTTATGTACTATGGTATGATGCTCTACGTTAAAGAAAATTTGGCTAGAAAAGTGTTAGCATTGATTAGCTTAACTAGGATTGCATAGCTGAGGAATCAGCAGTCATATTTTACATTTTATTGTCTATAGTAGAAAAAATAGCTTGAACTTGGCAAAATTTTGTTTATTGTATAAGTTGTCCCTTTGGTAATATTGCAAGACCCCGACTGCACAAAATTGGAATGTCTGCCAAGTCACAGGTCAAACAGTCTGATCACAGGTCATATCTATCGTGTATAATATATTTTGTATTCTGTAACATATGTGCAAGTGGTGTCTGGCGGTGGACCTTGCAGAACTGTTTGGTTGCTCCATTTCAACATGGGTGACCAGGGTTCTAATCTTGGAAGCAGCCTCTCTGTATGTGCAGGGGTAAAGCTGTGTACATCTGTCCCTCCCCAGACCCAACATTGGGGGGAGCCTTGTGCACTGGACTGCCCTTTTATGTGCAAGTGGTGGCTAGATGGACTGTTTCTCAATTTTTGATACGTTCAAGTCTTCTCACATTTTATTCAAAAATATGTGTATTTAATCAATAAGGTATTAAAGAGACAAATAAACACAAATAGTATGATAGATCTACGGTAGCATCATATCATACATAAGAAAAAGATCACAGGTGAGTTTTCTTATTATCCTTTTAAAGTTTATGGTAATTTAGTGACCCGGGTGGGTCAGTGAAACTGAGCTGGTTTCAATGGTTCTTACCGGGTTTTGATGGCTGTTAGTTCCTGAGTTTCATGCTGTTCAGTCCAGTCCGAATATTACAACATTGCCCTTTGGCTCAGTAAACTTTTAGGAGATCCACAAAGGAGATAATGAGCTTGTTGAACTTTCTCATCATATATTATTGATGTTAGCACCATCAAAGTTATATTTCAAGTTCTCAACAACTTTAAGTAGGCTATATAATTCTTATTCCATAATAATAATCTATTTTGGGATGGTTTAAAATGTAGGTGTCACTGGAAATATTGATCATTCAGATATAGGAAACATGTCAAAAATATCAGAAATTCCCTATTGAAATATTGTAAAAATTATAGACATGGTGAAAACATTGTGAAATATGGAAAAATATAGAATTCTATTTTATGTAATGATCAAAGATGCATAGGCAGACCCTTTTAAATTATTATGTTATTCCCAATCATCAAAATTACATGATAGAGTGAGTTCAAGCAAATTTTAAACTCATAGAAAGCGCAAATGGTTCTAATAAATTATACAGTAATCATGTCTATTAGGTGGGTAAAAACACTATTACTCCTCATATCTAAAGTATTGTTGCCAACTTATGTTGTAACATTATTTCTTATACTCCACGTAGCACTGGTAACTTTGATTGGCAATACTTGATTGGTTTTACCATTTTAATCCATGTTTGGGATATATCATGTGTTAAATTTCAGTTCTCGTGGTGGTTTCAACTATCCCAGCCAACACTTGTTTGGTTTACCATTGCCTTATTGGAATCTGCACCTTATCAGATATTTTTGCTGGTTTTATGGTTGGTTTTTGTGACATGTCCAAACCTTCTGAATTGACTTCCCTCATCTTGTCACACAGTGTCTATACCTTAAGTTTCTTCCCATGCAATCATTTCTAACTTCCTCCTCTCATCTTGCCACTGATGCATACCAACATTCTTATCTTGTCCATTGTTTTTGTATGCCCAAAATTTTTCTCCTGCAAAGAATGCTCATCTTATAGAACTTTCTCATAGAATTGATCTGTATTAGGTGGTTATGATCTTTAGAAGTACATCATCACTTCACTTATACCACTCTAATTTGATGAGCAACATGTTATTCAATCTCTCCCTCCTTGCGGTTACCCAAAGTAGTGGAGCATAATTATCTCTACGAGGATTGACCAGCACTCCCATGGTAGTAATATACTATGTTCTACTTAATTTTCGCCATGAAATGCTAAAATTTATGCATTTTGTTGTATTATCAATCTAAAGTGTTAGAAGATATGTACTATTACTAGGTCACATGACCTGGGGTTGGTTACTTGAGTAAAGTCATGAAATATTAAATATTGAAAGGAGACTACAAGATTTATAGATTTTTCTGCTCAAAATGTCTTGTTTCTTTCTCTTCTCCTCTTCCATTTCTATGTTCTAACCAAATCTATCTACTTTCACAAACAAGTTAAACTATTTAATGAGCAATCTATTCTACTGCCAATCTAAACTAGTCTTATCAAATATCAGAAGTACAGATACTTGATAGAATCAATATTTTTGCATTTTCAATTTTTTGTTTATTTATTTGTTTAATTTCAATTCTGAATGTAGTACACAATATAAAGTGGTTCTAATGATTGCTTTTTATCTCCATTAGTAAAGAGATTTTATAATATTGGCTTGTTAGCATTTAAACTTCACTTTTCAAGTTCCTCAATCTCTCATTATTGGTTAAAATGCCGATTAAATTAGATCTCCAATACAAATTCCATCATACATTAAAGCATATATATATATATATACAAAGAAGCCTAGGCATATGCTTATTACTTATCTAAAAGACTAAAACTGTGTTCCTTCTGTGACAAAAGTTGTTAAATTTGTTATAATTCTAGAACAAGGGAGGTGAATGTTTTTTTTCTCAGTTGTGCATTTTCAATCTTTTCTTGACATATGTTTGGCTAAAAATATCTTTCTTTCTAAATCAAAGGGGTCATAACATTAGCCATTATGCACTAAGTTGAGTGTGAACTAGTGTTATAGCTTGTTTGATTTCAGTTGTCACTAACTTGTCATTTCATGTTCTCGCAGCTAACCGTGCTGACTGTTTACATATTCCTTTATGGGAAGGCATATTTGGTAAGCTGAATTCAAATCTCTCTGACTGTGGAAGTTCTTCTAAATAAGCATAACTTAAAGTATTTCTGATGCTTTGAAGTTGGCTGATATTTCTTTTGAAATGAAAGGATTATATGCTTCATCTTCTTTTATAATTTAGTAAAGCATCCATAGTTTTCTTGCAGAAAGTCCATGCAAATGATAATCTTTAAGTTTTTTTTTTTTTTATTGAGAAGGTACTTTAAGATTTTTGTCCCTTCCATGTATAGCCTTTATCCCGAGTCTTTTTTTTTTTGTTACTAGTACCCGAGCAATTTCTTCTTTCTGTTTTGTTTTCCAATAACATAAATCAACTAGTATCTATAACTGAAGGTTAACAATTCAAAATTTCCATGCTTGGAAACTGAACTATTGTCTTTCTTCAGGCACTGTCCGGAGTTGGTGAAGCTATTCAAGATAGAGCTCAAATAACACAGAACACAGCCCTGAATGCTGCTCTGAATACACAGTTCCTATTCCAAATTGGTGTGTTTACTGCAATCCCAATGATTTTGGGTTTCATCTTGGAGCAAGGCTTTTTGAGGGTACAGTTTTGCCTATGACCCTGAAATTGAGATCCTTATTATTATTATTATTTTTTTTGCTAAAGTTTTTCTTCTTTGAGGTTTTGCATACAATGAGAAAGTTTTAGGATTTGCAGTGACAATTCACTAATAGGAAGTGATACTCCAAGATTTATGCGCTACTTGCTTGCTTCATTATCCACATCCCTAAGATCCTTGAGTTCAGAGTAACTAAATGTAGTTTTCAATGAAGCTATAGTCCTATCCAATTCCCACAGAGGGAAGACCATTGCACTAAAACAAAAAACCATCATCATAGCAAATCCCAAACTCCTTTCTCACTTCAAGTCCTCAATAGCTTTCACCCCCACCTTCAGATTCTGATCCACTTCATTCTGATACTTTGTTTCCAAACACAAACTACTAATTACACTCGAGGCACATTCAACATGAACCCTTTTGAAATTACGCTTGTATCATCCAGTGAGGTTCTCTAGATTCTAGTACTCTTGGAAGCTCAAACACGATTCATGGAATGGTCTGCTGTTTTCTTCCTGATGTTTGCAACTCCTTTTAACTATGATGTTTCAACATGTTCTTGCTGCAGGCTGTTGTCAGTTTTATAACGATGCAGTTTCAGCTTTGTTCTGTCTTCTTCACATTTTCTTTGGGCACAAGAACTCATTATTTTGGTCGGACTATTCTTCATGGTGGTGCAAGGGCAAGTACCCAAATCGTGATCCTGCTAATCTGTTTTACATATTAGATGAAATTAAAAAATATGGGTCCTTTGTTTACTTTCTTATTTCTGAACAGTACCAAGCAACTGGTAGGGGTTTCGTTGTCCGACACATAAAGTTTTCAGAGAATTACAGGCTTTATTCTCGCAGTCACTTTGTGAAAGGGTTTGTAGTCTTTCACCTTGATCACCTAGTCTGGAATAGAGCTATAGCTGTTTTTAATTTGTATATTGTTCTAAAATTGTAGATTAGAGGTTGTGCTTTTATTGGTGGTATACCTTGCTTACGGATATAATGAAGGTGGTGCATTATCCTACATTCTTCTTACCGTTAGCAGTTGGTTCATGGGACTTTCTTGGCTGTTTGCTCCTTACATATTCAATCCTTCTGGTTTTGAGTGGCAGAAGTAAGCACTGTTATTTTGCTCCTTATTTATATATTTATCTATTCATTTATGTTTCCTCCTTCAAGTTTAATCTGCACTTCGATACTGAAGGATAAAAGATGTACCATTTTGTTCAGGACAGTGGAGGACTTCAAAGATTGGACAAACTGGCTCCTTTATAGAGGTGGCATTGGTGTCAAAGGAGAGGAAAGCTGGGAAGCTTGGTGGGACGAGGAACTGGTAAACTTTCTGCTTCTAGATCTTAGGATGTCTCATTATTTCCCAGTGGGTGATGTAGGACGGGGTTGGGGTCCTACTAACTTTAGATTTAGTGGTGGGATTTGTAGGGTGAAAGATGGGCTATAGGTGACTAGGATTTAGGGATGAAGAATGGGGATGGAAAAACAAGTAGGTAGCTTGATCTCCACCAAAGAATGAGCTAAATATTAGAAAGGAAGAAGGGAACTCTTGCTGTTAAGGTCATCAGCAAAGAGACAGATTGCTTATAAGAAGAAATACATGAGAGAGAGGGAAAAAAGGAGAAGAAAATCCTGGCAACAACCAGAACTCATCCAACAAAACTTTATTTCTTCAAATCAACTCTTCTTAAATTGCAATTACAAATAGACTCAATATATGAGCTCGGATATCCCTTTACAGGCTCCAATTTACACTAGAAAACTGACCCAAAACAACTTCCAACTGCTTTAAAACCAAGGCAAATCCATAGATAACCCAAAGGGGCACTCCAATAAGGCCTCTAATTCCTAAAACACTTGAATAACTCATTACTGATCCAACTAAGACTAGCTTAATTTGAAGACACCAGAAATTGCTAAAAATGGCAAGTTTATCACTAATTGTAATTACTGTTGAGTTTTGGGCTGATATAACATGTTTTCATTTACATAGCATAGTTAGGGAGTTATTGGGCCTTAGGCCCATTAGTTTATGTTTTAAGTTAAGAGTGTTTTTAAGTTCTCACAAGTAGCTCACTTACTAAGGGCATACTCGTCTTTGTGCTCTCTTTTATTTATGATTATATAATATAATGAAAGGGGCGGCCAGACCTAATTCTGAGCCTCTCCCATTCTCTTCTCTCTCTCTCAGCTGAAACCTTTTCTTTTCTTTCTTTTCGTCTTTCTTTTACAGTTTATGGAAGTTAGGGTTATAGCACTTATACCCTTTCTGAGTCCTTGAGTAGCCAAGGAAGATACACTTAGTAGCTCGTGCATCTAACTTGTCTAAACTAGGCCCCAAGTTTTGAATAAAACAAACACATCCAAAGACTCTTGGGGTGAGAGGAAACAGAGACAAGGTGGGAAACAACACCGAGAAGGGGATCGACTTCCAAGGATGGACATGGGCATCCGATTTATGAGAAAAGAGGATGTGAGGACAGCATCACTCCAAAAATGCTTTGGGACATTCATATTTAGCATCTAAGACCGAGAAGTTTCAAGGAGATGTCGATTTTCCGTTTAGCTACACCGTTTTGTTGTGGGGTGTAGGCACAAGAAGTTTGATGAATTATCCCATGGTGCTCTAAGTATTGCTGAAATGRTRTTKAGGTGTACTCTTTRGCATTATCGGAGCGAAGAATTTTAATATGAACACCAAATTACGTACGTATTTCAGCATAAAATTTTTGAAAAATAGAGAACAATTCATTGCGATCTTTCATAAGATAAATCCATGTATGACATCACTTTGATTGGACCCTAGACATCAGAATGAACTAAAGAAAAATGACTCAAGACACGACTATCAACTCTTGGACTAAAAGAGACTCTATGATGTTTCCCAAGCTGACATGACTCACAATCCAAAGATGAAAGATGACTCAAGGAAGGAACCAACAACTTCAGAGCCTTGAGAGAAGGATGACCAAATCTGCAGTGCCATTGAAGACGAGTAAGAGACGACTTAAAAGTTACTGGAGGGCCACCACCATCAAGGTAATACAATCCACCTGCCTCATGTCCTTCACCAATCTTCATCCCCGTCTTGAGATCCTGAAACACACAAGAAGAGGGATAAAAGGTTATGGAACAATTAAGTGACTTGGTTAATCTACTAAAAGACATAAGGTTAAAGGGAACCTTGGGGACATATAAAACAGATGATAAAGACGAGGAGGAGAGATCAACATCACCAATACCACAGATGGGAGATGTAGAACCATTAGCAAGAGTAACTGTTTGAGATGTGGAGGACCGAGAAAGAGAAGAAAATACATTAGGAGTCCCAAACATATGGTCCGAGGCTCCGGAGTCAATGATCCAG